GGGGGGGATGTACTATGTGGGGCCTAGTGGGGATGCTAGACAGAGAGCTTTCGAAACCTTAGGTCCTAATGGCTGGGCTTCCCTCTACCTCTACTCATCCCCCTACCTTCCCTCTGGGTTTGTGAGTGGGGTTCTCATGACTCATCAGAACTCTACTTCCCTGAGGCTATGAAACAGGAACAGCAGATAGGAACAGGAACAATATATTCATCAGTGCTAATAAAAACTTTTATAGACATGGTGCCACTTAAAATTATAATAAGAGCCAACTAGTAAGATATAAATATGAATACTTGGCTATTATGTATGTAACAAACAACCAAACATGTGCTCAAGGCTCATTTTACTTCGCCTGGGGATCAGAGATTTTTATGCCTAAAACACCATAAATTTTCGTCAACAATATAAATAAATACCATTTATATTTGTCAATTTCAGTATGAAACGATTATTTCAACACAAAAAAGCGATATGAGGACATACTTGGTCATACTAGTGAAGCTATACTAAATACAAATAAATTTACAACGCCATGGCAATGGCAAAACATTGAAATAGAAATTGTCTAGATGTGATACAAATACTTGCCTTGAAACTCCAGACACGACTCCCAATGCCATGTTGAGATACTTGTCTTCATACGAAGACATTCCATCATTACTAGCACTATCAGTTTGAAAAATAAAGCCAAAAACGTCTTCAGAATGCGATTCAAACAAAACTACAACACAGTACATTTCAACGCTCGTGCGTTCCGTGCGCGATAATCAGGAAAATTGCTCTAAAAGATTTGTTTTTCTGCCTAAGCCAATCAAAATCCGTATCTAGGGTAAACAAACACTCCGGAAGTGATTCCTGCAGTCGTTTACCAGGAAACTGTAATGCTTTACCAAGAATTTGGCGTCCGAAGTTGGCCAAACACTTTCCGATCACGATAATTGCCATAATAGGCTTAGATTATTTAAATTTCCCGAGACTGCTCCGAGCTATAGAATGGAAGATGGCGATTCTTTTGGTATATTTGTTATTATTATACGTTGAAAAGAAGCAAAAAGACGAGCATTTGAATCAGGCAGAACATTCAAAATGCAACAGCAAAATTGATAATGTGTCATTTGCATAAATTTCACCACATTGATCATTTCAAGGTAAGAAATTCGCTTGAAATTGAGTGAGAAACAATAAAATTATATGAATATTTCTGAATATATAGTATCGATCAAGCGGAATTTTTTGGTGGTATTTTCGTATGTCTACTGCAAATACTCGCAAAGTTCTTTAATATTTAATCTTCCCGTCATATACGTCGGAAATTAATATTGGCAGATCAAATTGAGTTAACCCAGCAATAATTCAGATAATTTGTTACCTTAACCTTAAGTATCATTTACACGACAGCAGCAGCAATATTTTGCAATGGCATGCACAGCATGGCAAAATTTGATGTACGGCAAAAGTTAAATTTAGGCACAGCATGTTTAGTCTAAATATTGTGGGACAATTAACTTATCTATCGAATTTGAGTAAATACTTTTGAAAACTGTGCATTTAGTTATATCTAAGCTTTGTTCAAATTACACCTCATTTATACATGTATGGCACTAGACACATTTCCCCTGGATAACATATCTTGCATGACCAAATTAAAACAAAGCATTTAGTGAACTAAGTCTACGCTGCCAACTTCGAGAATCATTAGTTTCACAAGTGTTGTTTATCAGATCAAGTCAAAATCTCATAGCTTTTGAATGTTTAACGATTTCACAAGATCGGAACTCGGTCACACAGTTCCTGGTTCACTGTAGTATGACATTCAAGGCCATGTATCAGCAAATTCAAAGACTAAATACTGAATAGAAGGCACTAGAAATCAGTAAAATGTGAAGTTCAATTGTCCAAAAAGGGCACAACGTCGATGAGTTTCAAACAGCTTTGTCAGACATGCAAAGTCAGTTCAACAAAATGTCCGTTTTGAATGCCAAACAATTTCAGAAAGTATCCATAAACTAAAGCAAGAAGAATTTAAGGATTTTCAAGTACAGTACTTCTTTACAAATTCAAGGATACTCAAAGCCTTGAATTTTTGTTTTCAAATTCAACGACATTCAAGGACTTTCAAGTTTTGTTCAAACTCTGAATAACATTAATAAAGCAAAATTGACTTTTAAAAGTTCAGTCAATGAAAATGCAACCTTAATACTAGTAATATAGTACAGATACTTACACACAATGTCTTGATTAATTTACAGTCCTCCTGTCTTGAAGATTTTTTCCCCAGAAGTTTAGGAAGTAGCATCAAAGCAAAGTTGTTAATTTCATAAGCTGTCAAATAAAAAAATAATTATTATACATTAAGTACTGGCAGTACTTTTACATGATAAAAATATGTATTCTTTTGGTGGATAAAAATATGTATTCAATTGACTGATGGACACCATCTTGATTGATTCTTAAAACACACATAAACTATATATTATTTTCCAATAATATAGTAAGCTATTTTAAAACAAACTGTAAAAATAAAGTTTAACAAAGTCATACCTATACTTCATTATGCATGCAGAGGCCAAAATACATGGTCATGGAAAGACATGTTACATGCACTGTAATGATGTCATGGGAAAAAAAACAGTACCTTGAATTTTTTCTGGGTCCTGAGAAATGGCGAATTGAAGACCCTGTAATGCATTCTTTATGTACGAAACCTTCCGTTGAAACTTTTCACAATATTTCACAATTGCGCTTTGGCATGACAACATCTTAGCTTTCAATTCTTTAGTTGCATCCATATCTTCAAAGGCTTGGTTGAATTCATGACGAATCTACATGTATTATGAGAGTAAAATTTATTAGTAGATAAAACTGTACATATCCAAAATCATCTAAAACAACCCATCATACATTGATGCATATAGTGTATGTACATGTACTGTACATACTTGTGGGGTGATGTTTTGCACCACCACTGTTAGTAGAAAATTGCATGTATGGCATGGGCATACAGTAGGTTATTATTTTCATACATAACCTCTGAAAGACTGCAAGCAGGGTACACATAATGAAGTTAATTTATTCACTGACTATTCTATAAATATAATTTTTTGTCAATTTACACGATTCTGATTGGTTGAAATGTCTAAAAAGTACTAAATACTTAAATTAAACATTATAATTGCATACTATGCAATTGATGTTTAAATCGCACACTTCTGCACCCACAGTTCACTGATGCAGGAAATTCAAAACAACATTAAATTAAAACTCTGTTTTTTATGCAGTAAATTGACTAAAAGGATATTAATACGAAATTACCACTTGTTCTTGGACTTGAAGCGTTAATGAAAAATGGCACTAAAGTCCTCAAACTCGCGGTATTATAAATATTTTGCCAAACACGCACACAATTTTTCATTAATACTTCTCAAACCATTCAATTTCCTATACTAATTTAAGATAATCTCATTGAGTGTTACTAAATATGAATAGATTTTATACATTTTCATCACAAAGAGAATTAGGGGGCATGTTTGTGGTGGGTCTTGTCTAAAAGTGCACACGAATGACTACGAATACCCACAAGTGACATGACCACAAGTGACCACGAATGACTACGAATGACCATGAGTGATTTCTGTGTTTAAAAGTCATAAAATAATAAAACTCCATAGGGTTTTTGCATTATACCACACTTTTGTATACAGAAAACTCCTGTTTCTTCACTTTACATGACACGAAGACAAAATTTATTGGACACATTGACAATGCTCTCCTGAACATTGCAATTTACTACTTTTGTGCTGAAAGTCTGTTACCATGGTGACAAGCGTGCTTTGGATAATTAAGCTCAAAATTTGTCTTTTTACAGCCGTTTTAACTTTTAAGAATTTAAAAATTTGCATAAAAGATCTTCTCCTTTAATGATTTTTTTCCAATTTTAAAAAATTCTATGGAACATTTCTTAGATTATTCCTTTCAATAAAATTTTAAGAAAAAAAGATATTGAGCTTGTTTAGCCGATATTAAGAAATGTGCAAAATTTTAAACCAATTTACCAAAGGAAAAGGAAGAAATTAAGGTTCAATTTTGGCATTTTTTGCGAGATGTGACATGTAATCACACACACACACACACACATACACACACACACCTGTGAAACTCAGACAAAAATGCAGTAAAGTTCCAGTTAAAATTTTGATATTTTCAGGTAAAATTTGCATAATAAAGTAATTATATGTGTGAAATGATAAACATGTTTGTAAAATATACAGTCAATTTACATCAAATTGGTTTGTAAATTTTCAATTTGTTTGCAAATTTGCTTTAGCAAACGCTAGAATTGCAGTCCTAGAGCTTCAAAAATGGAACAATTTTCTGGGGGAGGACCCCCAAACCCCTGTTTTCTCCCGAAACTTAGTGTGACAGTGCAAGTTAATCACAAAAAGCTTTATTATAATTATTACACTTTAGGTAAATATTTATTAAAAATTCAAATTTCAGGTAAAATCCTCCGACAACCCGCCCCCCAACTTTAGATGCTTTGCTACGTTCCTGTAGACTGACATGTACAATAGTCGAAAAAAATTTCCCTAAGGGATTTTTAAAATGGTCGAAAATTTTTTAGCCTTATCCATGGCACGCTGTTGCCATGACTTTCAGCACTAAAGTAGCACATTGCAATGTTCAGGAGAGCATTGTCAATGAGTCCAATAAATTTCGTCTTCATGTTATGTAAAGTGAAGAAACAGGCGTTTTCTGGATACTATATAGTGCAGTATAATGCAAAAACCTTAGGGAGCCACCTTAAAATAGTTTTTATTATTATTTCATGAGTTTTAAACACAGAAATTACTCATGGTCATTTGTGGTCACTTGTGTGTACTTTTAGACAAGATCTTTGTGATGAAATATAATATCTGTATAATTATATATATTTGTATTTGGTAACACTTGATGGGATTTTACATGGGTGTAACTTAACACTTGCCCAGGGCATGACGGACAAGTAAACATTTTATCTTGCTTGCCCGATGGGCAACTTGCCTTGCCACAAAGGGCAACTTGCCTTGCCCGATGGGCAACTTGCCTTGTTTGTTTTTTCATTTTTTGTGGGCCAAAGCTAGATTTGAGGCAGTTTAACATAGCCATATAGAGCAGTGGCAGAACGGGTTAACATGTTGTCTCCTTAATTTATACCTTTATCTAAGTACTCCATGTCCAACTTACCCTGAGGGTGGGTGGTTGGAGGGGTGAAGTTACACCACTGTTTTAAAGAACAATTAGTTTTGATCATCTGGCATTAGACAAAGTAAAATTACAATGTATAGGAGGGTGCATTAAAGATCAAATTGACAGATTAAATGAATTAGAAAATTATATTTTAACAAATATATGAAAATATATATAAAAATATAACAAATAGTGAAAATTTATTTATTTAAATCAATTTGTTGGACCATGTCCAAGTGGTAGAGTATGAACGAGACTCAAAGTCCCATGCGAGGCACTCCCCGTTACAAACTGTAAAGATTTCTTAAATATTTCATTAATAATAGCTATGAAAAAACATATGCCAATTACTTGAGCACCAGCCAATTCTTAAAACCGCACAACAGTACGTTTACACACAAACGATCGGTTGGCCGATTTCAGGTATTGCCGAATGTTAAAATGACAAAAGTTATATCAGTTGACAACACAGAGTAGACAGATATACAGAACTACAACTAGTGTACCTACCTTTTTGTGTGTGTGCTTGGCAAGTTACTAGATGCATGCATCCCATAGGATGGCGGTTCGCTTTAACCGCTCACAGAACTTGCCGAGAACGACCAGTTGATAATTTTTTTTTACCTGGTCGCCTGAAAAAAAAGTGGGTACATGAAAACGCAAGTTTCCGCAGCGCTTACCACAGCCAGTTACAGCTCTGCATGTATCCACTCTGTGACAGCGTATTTTAATATCATTTAAATAAAACTGAATCCAGCCTGAGTCAAATCGGCCCTACCAATCGCTATGTGCAAACGCACCTTAAGAATTTTTGGATTTAGTATTAAATGAGAATCCAACTACTTTAAATTCTTTCACAATTAAGAATGTGAAAGAACATAGAGAGTGAAACATAAGCAATACGCATATGTTTTGTTCGAACTAATTCCTATGGCATGAACAAGTTCGATGTAATGACCAGGTACAAGTCATATCTACATCAAAAATAGTAGTAATTAAATGTAAGTACGTTCTTGACAAAAACGATTTAAACATAATTAAACTACGAAGGTCTGCAGGCGAGGCTGCCTTTTACACACACAGTTCCAAAGAGGGACGATACGATTAAAGAGGGACGACTGAAAAGTACTTGTTTTACACGACGGAACTTTAAGCATAAGAGAAGGATTTTCACAATTACGAGTACGACAATGGCTAACAAATGACACATAATCAGAAACATTTAAGTCGTAGTATCCATGCAATAACTTGAAGAAAAATGTTAAATCCTTTATCTCTCTATCGTATGTTAACGGTAGTAGGTTGAGGGCCAGCAATCGATCTTTGTATGTAATGTCACCTTTCTTCACTTGGAGGATCCATCTTGTGGCTTGTCTTTGTAGTTTTTCCAAGCTAATTTTGTTAAGCGACTGATACGGAGACCAGATCTCTGTGGCATAAGATAGTTGTGATTTCACAAGTGACAGGTATAAAGTTCTTCGAGCATCGCAATTTGTTAACATGGGACAAGTTCTCCGTAATAATCCCAGCGTTGAATTTGCCTTCGTAACAAGTTTTGTAATGTGCCTATTCCAAGAGAGATTACTGGTAACAGTGATCCCTAGATCAACTTCGCTCTCTACGCGTATCAATTCTGCGGACCCAAGATGGTAATTTATCACAATCGGTTGTTTACGTCGGGATATTGTCAGGGCTTTGCACTTAGACGTGTTGAAGCTAATGTTGGATTCTTTACTCCAATCGTCAACGTATGACAAAGCTACTTGTAGATTATCGCAATCCTGGCGAGATGTTATTGCCGTGTACAGCTTTGTGTCGTCAGCATACAGCCCTTTTGAAGTTGTTGGAGGTATTATATCAGGGAGATCATTGATGAATAGAAGGAAAAGCATGGGGCCTAAGATACTCCCCTGTGGGACACCTGAGGTGACTGGAGACCATTCTGAAGCAACACCTTCGACAACAACACGCTGAGTACGTCCACGTAAATAGCCTGTGAACCAATTGTAAAGGTTGCCTGATATACCATAAGCCTTCAGTTTCTTCAATAGGATACCATGATCAGCGGAATCGAAGGCCTGTGCTTTATTGATCATTTCCCGAACATGATTGTAAAATCGTGACTACGACAACTATGCAAGCTGACCTTATTGACCAAGAAAGCGTCAAAAGTGGAAGTACCGTCTGTAAAAAGATTCAAAGAAATTAATAAGAAATTATCCAAAAGTAGAATGACTAAAGCCAAAAAACAGTTGAGTGACCTTATTGAAAATCGACCACAAGACGTGGCACTACCTAGCAAGAATGCTGTAAGAAGAGCCGTACATAAATTAATTCTGAGATGAATATTATTACAAAGATTATCGATAGTTTGAAAGGAGTGTATGCCATGACTGAGAACAATGAAGAGACTAATACAGAAAAAAATATATTAGACAAAGAGTTAGAGGACATTGGATATTCAGTTGATGTAAATATTGAAGGAGCAGAAAAACATATAGAAGAGGGAATTAATGCAGGGAAGACCGAGTCAGTATTGCTTTCACTTAAATCACATGTTAGTGTGGAAAAAGATCCAGTACCCTCCATCGTACACCCCAATATACCCTCCAATGTACCCCAATGTGCCTTCCAATGTACCCCGCAATGTGCCCTCAAATCTACCCCCCTATGTTCCTCCAATGTACCCCCCCCAATGTACCATCCAACGTGCCCCCTAATGTACCCTCCAACGTACCCCCCAATGTACCCTCCAATGTACCCTCCGATGTACCCTCAATGTGCCCTCCAATGTACCCACAATGTACCCTCCAAAGTACCCCCCAATATACCTTCAACACACCTTCACACGTAGAGCAGAAACAATTAGAAGCTAAGAATGCGAATGACAGATTGCAAAGAATGGAAAAGGAACAACAAGAGAAAGAACAATAGATGAGAAAATCAGCAGCTGAACTTGAACTCACCAAGCAGCGAACAGAGGAAGCAAGAATAAAAGTAGCTGAGCTCAATAAGTCACGAGCAGAAAATGCGGAACGACAACTAGTCGAAGATTGTGATACTGTAAAGGATTTTCTTACGAAACATAATTTTACAACAGGATCGCCTGAGGGAGTACCAGTTGAAACAATAACCCGATCGCCCATGAAGTTGAAAGGAGTCGACCTTCCAAAGTATAAAACCAATTCTTAGTCCTGGAAGGCAGCATTTATGGCAATGGTTGATGTGCAGAACGTTCCAGTTGGTGAAAAAATGCTCAGGTTACAAAGCTGTTTAGCTGGTAAAGCAATGACCGTGGTGAAAGATTTGGGATACTCAAGCGCTGCATATGAACGAGCAAAGTCGAAGTTAGAGAAGAGGTATGGGGGAGAGAGGCGACAACAAATAAAGCAGCTTACAACTTTGCGTAATTTGCCTAAGGTTCGCTCCCACAATTTACAAGACTTTCAAGCCCTACTAGAGAGAATTTTGATCACCATCAACAATTGTGGATCCTTACAAGATCAAAGCCTGAATTTATCAGCAAAAGAAAAGCTAACCGAACGGGATGTTCAAACGTATAAATACTGGTTGATAGACTATGCTCGAGAAGATTGCTTCGAATCGCTGGTAGACTGGGTGGAACTCCGAGTGCAAGTCATTGGGAAAGCGAGAGAGGAGACTGAGGGATTTGGTAAGCAGAATGAGGAACGGGGTAACAAGAATCGTGATGAACGACAACGTTTCCCAGGATTCAACACACGGTTTTCAACCACACATTGTATTGTTAACACATGCAAACAAGACCATCCACCATGGGTTTGTGATGCTTTCAAGAGACTCCCTGTACAGAAGAGAAAGGAATTAATTTCAAAAAGCAGCCGTTATTATCGGTGCCTGGCAGCTGGGCATCACAGCAAAGATTGTCGTAAAGCAAGAAAATGCGGAGTTGACGGATGCCAGAGCAACAATCATAGCAGTTATTTTCATGAAAGCACCCCACAGAATGGAAACACAAATGCTAGACAGCAGTTAGAACCAGAGGCGCCAACCTTCTATCCAAGACACCCACCAGCCCAAGAAGCAAGAACCGAACAGTTTGGTAGAATGGACATCAATAACCAACAGAGAGCCGAATCATCCACGCAAGAGAGAACTCACAAAACGAGTAAGACTGATAATGTTTCATTAATGGTTCTTCCAGCCATTATTGTCGATGGTCAGAAGAAGTTGAAAGTCAATGTAATGTTAGATCCATGTTCAACAAGTTCCTATATTTCGGAACATGCTGCAGGAGAGCTGGAGCTGCAAGGGCAATCGTTAAATCTGACAATTGCAGGAACAGGCGGAACCGAGATTCAGAAACGGTCAAGACGTGTTGGACTGTCAGTGACTAGTCTCAATGGGACATTCACAGCACCCTTGCAAGCACACGCATTAGACAACATCGCCAGAGACACGCCAGCATTTCAGGGGTCAGAATTGAAAGAAAAATGGCCACATGTACGCCAAGTCCCATTTGGGAATGTATCCAGACGACGTTACATTGATGTCATGATTGGCAGTGACCATCCACTGTTTCATTTGGTGTTAAAGGAAATTCATGGCAGTCGACATAATGATCCAATAGCACGATTGACAAACCTTGGCTGGGTATGCTTTGGTCCTACATTAGTGAAGGAAATCCGGCAGAAATCCCTGTCTCACTTTACTCGGACATACCGCAGCAACCAAGTGAGAAAGCAACCACCACCCGATGACATTCTGAGAAAGTTCTGGGGACTTGAGTCAATAGGGTTCAAGCAGATGACAGTCGAAGAAAAGGCAGCAATGACAAAAGTCGCTGAGATCCTTACATTTGAGAATGGGCGATACACGGTGGGAATTCCATGGAGAGAAGGCGAACGAAAGTTGGGAAACAGTTACGAAGCTGCTTTGGTACGACTCAAAAGTCAGGAAAAATCTCTAAAAAGAAAAGGCCCGAACATTACGAAAGCCTACAGTCATGTCTTTGAAGAGTATGAGAAGAAAGATTACATAAAGGAGGTACCAAAATCCGAGACAAAGGAGCAATGGTTCCTTCCGCATTTCCCCGTTATTAGACTTGATAAAGATACGACGAAGGTCCGTGTGGTGTTCGATGCTGCGATGAAACACGAAGGCAAATGTTTGAATGATGCAATACGACCAGGTTCCAAGCTGCAAAGAGAAGTTCTGGATGTTCTTACACGTATCCGTAGAGCCCCAGTAGCCCTTACTGTCGATATTTCCGAAATGTTTTTACAAGTTGGTCTCCGGGAACAAGACCGTCAGTATCATAGGTTCCTGTGGCGAGATTTTGATACATCGAAAGAGTCTAACGTTTATGAGTTTTCGCGATTGTTGTTTGGCAACACGGCATCACCATTCTGCTCACAGTACGTTTTTCATGCCCATGCACAAGCCCACGAAACAGAATATCCGAAGACAGCCGAATCCGTTGACAATTCCATGTATATTGATGATTTATTAGATTCTAGCGAAACCGTGGAGAGTGCACAAAATTTGCAACGTCAATTGTCCGACATGTTAGCAATAGCTGGATTCAACTTGCGAAAGTGGTCATCAAATGAGGCAGCAGTAATAGAAAACATTCCCGTGGGCGATCGTCTACCTGCAATCGAGATCAACAACGGAGATCTTACTAAAACCAAGACCTTAGGAGTTACGTGAGAAGAAGCGAGAGACGTTTTTCTATTCCAAACCAAGCAACCTGATATGAGTGTCAATCCTACCAAACGAAACGTTCTAAGTGCAATAGCCGCCCTATTTGACCCACTTCAGTTCCTGGCACCATTCGTGATCCGCGCCAAGATTATCATGCAAGAAATATGGACAGCAGGGTTAGATTGGGACGATGTCTTACCTAGTAATCTTAGCACGAAATGGGAAAACTGGGTATCTGAACTCCAGAGCTTATCGTACGATGCCATCCAACGATGTTTACGCCTACCAAACCCAAAGACGGTTGACCAACATCTCTTTACCGACGAATTTAAAGATGCTTATGCCTCCGTTGCCTATTTGGTTTGCCAGTACACCAACAACCCCTCTACTTCGCGTCTCATTGCGTCAAAGGGCCGTGTGTCACCTTTGAAAGTGGTGACCATTCCCCGCCTAGAGCTAATGGGAGCTGTTCTTTCAAGTCGTCTAGCCGCAAGTATCCTAAACGTGTTAACCGTGGACAGAGTGATCTATTGGACAGACTCAGAGAATGTGCATGTGTATTACTGGGTACGTATCCAGAGTCGCGAATTTAAACCGTTCGTAGCTAGCTAATCGAATTGGGGAAATTCAGCGTACAACAGCTTCAGAACAGTGGCGGCACGTACCGGGGACGAAGAATCCAGAAGATTTACCAACCAGAGGTTTATCGGTGGCAGACCGTGGTGAGAAATAATTTTGGATGGAAGGACCATCATTCCTAAAAGACGGTGAAAGTCCCTGGCCAACCACAGCTCCTAGTAAAGACGTGCAGAAATCTGACCAGTGTGAAAGACGATCAACCACGACATATGCAACTAGGAACTATGAATTTACTAGCATTGATCCTACACACTTCTCAAGCCTCAAACGTTTATATCGTGTGACGGGTTGGATTAATTTAATTAGGCGGTTCATCGCCAATTATAAGTTAAGATTCGTGGGAAATCTGGACGAAAATATGAAAAAACGCTTTCTTCTGCTGAGATCTCTGATGCTGAGACGTTTTGGATCAAACACGCGCAAACAGAAACTTTCCTAAAGGCATAAATGAAAAGTCCCTAGTCCAATTAAAGCCGCCAAAAGATGATAATAACCTACTTCGTGTTAATGGACGCTGAAATTATATGCTGTCTTGTTTAGTTGTTTCATATACGCAAAGGGTCAAAGGACGTCGGGTTTTAAATCAATTATAAAATCAATATTTAAAACAAACTTACCTTCGTTAACATCGGCTGCCTTCTTTTGGCCCATTCTTTCGCCCTTTCTTTCTGAGAAAGCTTTTGAAATTTACAAAATCTTACAAAAATGCGAGGAAAAATGAAATATATTTGCAAGAAATTTAGCAATCATCAAATCAAGAAATGTTTGCTTTTTCGCTGTCGTCATGCAGTCGTTATAATGCCAACTTTAAATTGGACCAATCAGTGTCCGCTATTTATGACAGTCTGCCATATTTTTGAGATCAGTGAGGATGACCACACACCAAACACCGTTGGTGAGCTACGCCCGCGATCATTGATGAACTTTAGACTTCGCTAGTGCTTTCGTTTACCCTGGTGTGTATAGCCGGGGGGAATTAGTACCCTCGCACGGCACTTCGCGCCGTCGGCACGGGGATTACAAAGTTACTTTAGAATTACTCCAGAAGTTACTCCAGCCGATTCTATGAATATTCAGTTATTTCATTTTCCAAAATTTATCAATTAAGGTAAAAACGTGGTCCTTATCAAAATTGTTAGAAGTTTCAAAATATTTCTGGTATTTGCAGTGTAAAACTAAGTGCAAAATACTTATGACGGAGTGTTGTATTATAATTACATGGATAACGTTTTCTGAAAAAATGAAGAAAGAAGGAAGAGAATTTTACTTCAGAAATGTTTAGCATAGATTTGCATGGAGGCGTTTTTGCGCCCGCGGTCGTTTAGACCGTATTGCACTCGACCGTATTTTAGAGCGTATTGTACTCGAAATTTGTTTGAAACGGACGGACGGAAGGTAGAAGGGATTGATCAAAACGTCACTGTCAGTGCGTCGATATTGGTTCGTTGCATTGTCGTGGCTCCATGGTTTGACGTTTAATTATACGCGAATGATGCATGATCTGACAAGAACGGATCACATTACAAGCTATGAAGCTAAGCGTCTGCATGTGCTTTCATTTGCTTTTGGTTTCTACATTTACGGTAAGTTTATGTTCTTGGATATTCTAATCTAATGAGTTATGTACGTAGATTTTGTGAACACAGACCTGGTTTTAATTGTATTTTATTACCAAAGTGTTTACGTTGATAGAATAGAAAATACATGCATGCAGAAACCCTCGCCTTACTGACAAAACCATTATGTTTTCTGAACATGAAGTATTGAAAGTAGTTGTCATGGGAACGCGATAATTTTAGGAATAGTTTTGGAATTGAAAAATCCCCCCAAATATCACTTTTAATTACAAAATAATCAATTTCCCAAACATGTATATGCTAGGTATGCAATTATACGTAATATAAGCTTCAATTTAATGTAAAATTCAACCACAAACGCTTCGCAAAACGTTTTAAAATGTTCTTAAAACTAAACTGACTAGCTCGAATTATCGATAAACATTGAGTTTGAAATAAACTGCTATAAAACAGACAAGTAGGGGATCCCCAACATAATATGTGTTGGAGAGGATAGAAGGCAAAACTTTTGATTGGTCACGTTGCGGTCAAAGCTTGTGTGTACTGCACGTATTTTACAGTAATTTTTACTGCTTAGTTTATGTAGTATGACACAGTAGCGAAGGCAGCCCGACAATCTGGTCATGCTTTGCAAAATAATTACGTGTTTATGGACCGTGAAAAGAATCAATTTCTAAAGTAATGAATAATAGGCCGTTGGACGAGGGTCGAAAATGTTCAATTCCGTAGCACCCCACGTGTAACTACATAATTTTACATGAATCGATAGAGTGGAATTTACTTAGTTAGAAACCACTTCCCCCCAAGCGAAATAGTTGCACAAATTGAAGTACAATCTCTCCAAAGTTCAGGCTTCTTTGCATTTCGAAATCCGTGAATGGCCATTGTTGTGTTGCAAATACGCATGCGCTTGACCACAAAACACTTAACACGCACAGATTAGGAGAACTGATCTCAATCCAGCACTGGATAAACCTGGACAAGAAAAAATTATGAAATGTGCGAAAGCAGGGCTGAAATAAAACAAGATGACATTGGACTATATTAAAAGTATATGATTTTTTATGTTCTGTGCATTTTAATGGAGTTTACCAAGCATTCTGAGCAACGTACCGTGTCGAGTCGTCGCCAGGAACACTTCCAAGCCAACATTACAATAACAATTTATAAAAAATATGATGTTACTACTACAACAATTGCATAACGTTTGCGAGAAAATCTGTTTTTCAGGGCCGTACACAGCGGGGAGGCAGGAGGGGGGGGACTGTCCCCTTAGAGAAAACTAGCTATATTTACGATTTTTTGAAAGTCATTAATTGTTCGTCGGATATTTGGGACTTTTTTCGGCATTAAGACCAATTGCACTGACGTCACAAATCCTTAGAGTGTCCTCCAGATGCTCCTTAATAATATCTGTTCGGGTACAGCAACCACATACAGCGCAAATATTAACGATTTTAATACAAAATTATTATTAAACTATGCAAAATTTGCTTTGTTTACAAATGACATATTATGCATAGATTGCTAATTTTTCCTCCGGATGCATCGTCACCGGCGCTGTAACGTTATGTGCAGTAGGTCTATAGGGGGGGGGGGGGGGGGCGGGGGATTCCGAATATATACAAATAATCTGTTTTTGCACGTTTGATTCTCTTTAAATTATTATGCAAGATCGGGTACTGTGATTTTCAGTAAAATATCATAATTATCTTTCAAATACAATACTTTTACGCTTCCCGATTTTATACATTAATTGCTTACAGGAGAGGGCTGGGATGAGGGAATGGTGCTAAACAGAGATATTACGATAACTAACAATCTTATTTATTTTCTAAATCTTTTCCCGTCAATTATATTAGTCAAGTTTGGTTGATCTTTGCCTGAAGAGCCAACGTACCAATTCTGAGTTACGCTGACTGGAACTTCATTACAACTCTGTTTTTGTATTAACCAATTTCATCCTCAAACACTGTTGTTTCGTTGTTGATCATGCACGCCTTTATCACGAACCCTTTTTCGCCATTCTAATTTGCGCAATCATCACTCTCAGTTTATCAACAAAAAAAACAAAGAAGAAGGAACGAGCTTAGTAGGTTATAGGAGGTATTGTTATACAACAGCATTGCGTGACGTTTGCAAACTAATTATAATAACTTGCCATACGACGCGCGCATATCAAGAGAAAAGGAGTTTCCGTGCCACATGACTGTCGAAACCGTTCCGTGCGTGAGGAATCTTATAACATCATTACGTACAGCTTCAATAAAATATTCTGGGGAGCCGTTTTTACCATGCATATATAAAGGAATTTGGGAACACGTTTGTGCCTCTCGCTTCGAACAATGAAATAACTGATGATCTTACCTTGGCTCTTATTATTAGTGAAAATAACAGACGTAATATTTCGTGTGAACTGCGAAAGCTTGGGTTCTAATGTAAATTTATATGGCGGATTTTGAAAATATACAGTATGTGCATAATATGTCAAGCAAGATATTGAACATGCAGTCCTGGTGCCGTACACTTTATAGATAGAATACTATTGTTTTCAAATTGAATTGGCCCTAAGGCCCGTGCATTAACTTCTTAAAGAAAGTCTATTGCTTTTTGAGCTATTTGCAAGTAATTTTCACATATACATGGTCGGGGCTGGAAGAGGAATATTTCGAATGTTTGATATTCCTACCTCTAAAATTGATAATCTCACCTTAAATTAAAATGAATTATAAATAACACTGCAATTGAAAAACACATGAAACGATTTAAAACATTTTTTTTAATCGTGAAAATTAAGTATGCAATTAAATCAACTCGAAATCTATATGTTTCGTGTAATCCTGAGCACGTGATGTGCTTGACCATTCATTCGAGCCATAGGCTCACTGCAAAAGTGTACGACTTAAATTAATTTATATAGTTTACAATGATAAAAATATATATTTAAATATTAAGAAAACTAATATAAGTTGCTACTTATAAATCAGAGAAAAAGAGAAACATATTCAAGTACAAACATAAAGATTTTAACAAGATTTTAAAATTTCCACGTGACTTCTATACTTTAGAATAGGCCTTTCTATCTAAAAACATGGGGCATGCGCCCCCTTTTTTCTAAAGCGAAAAAAATGCCCTTTTTTCTTGGCTAAAGTTTAATGAATGAAAAAAGTAATTCTCGAATGAACATCCTCTTTTGCTGGAAAGAAAGTGCCCTTTTTTCAGTAGTAAAGACTCTGTAAAGGCCATTTCCGACATTTTAGTGACTTCATATTTTCAAAAGTTTTCGTTCGGCTCATGAGCGACATAAAATCGTTTGATTTTGGTCATATACAAAAGTGCCCCTTTTGGCCAATGCCCCTTCCCTCCCGAAAAGCTTCCGCGGTCTCTGCATGCATTAGCTAGCCTTCATGGCCAGAATGGCCCAGAAATTTAAGATATCAATACTGAGCATGCTCACAAAATGGCATACAAAATGGCGCGGACATTATAGTAGAATGCATTTGGAAAAAGAGTTTTTATATATTTGAGTCAGAATGATAGTAGTTTCAACAATTGCCGAGTTCGTTTCAATGTGAAATAGACCTTACACACAGCACAAACAAAAAATGTTATCATATTTTCACCTTTAAAGGCGGTTTTACAGTCCTCGCATGCGAGTGCGTGCATCCATGGTGCATCTAATTAAAATAAACTGTTTTGCATTGCGATTGGATGAAAGTGCTCATGCATGCTCTCGCAGCGAGCTGCGAGGAGCTTCGTGCGAGGACTGGAAAACCGCCTTAAATTGTTTCATTTCGAATGTTACCTTTACGATGAGAGTAGCTAATATATTTCCTATTAAACCGGACCAAATTCACAAACACAACTAGATTCTCTCGACGACCAATGATCAACGACTTCCCAGATGAAATTTGCCGACATCGGTCTGTGATGTACATATTTTCGTCCATATTTCCAGTTATTTTCAAACCGATCTGATGTATTTATCCTGTTCCATTTTAAGATTAAAATATCTTATATTTACGAGTCCATCAAGCCATTAAGAGAGACATAACAGCCACAAAAAAGGCAAATAATACAAAATTTACAACACATTTAAAACGAAATAGAGGCAATGTTTGGTATCAACAAGAAGATCAGAGACCAGGCTTTCACGTAATAGGAGATTGATAAGGACATCAATGTTCAAAATGGATTGCAATCCATATTTGCTCACCCGTACTCCCTTTAATCCTACACATGTTGTTGCATATATATCGCGCCACCGATCCACTGAGCTGTATAATAATTGGAGGATCTGCTCCTATACTTCGTTCAGTCAACCAAGTGTCGCCAAAACATGACGGATTTTCAGGCAAAATGACGCCATTTCCATAACAACCCTTCCAAAATTCTCATGGTAGATACCACTGACCAGGCTCAATTCTGAGCCCACGGCCGTTTTCACCCCCCCCCCCTGGTTTTTGCAAAAAAGTTTTGCAGATAATATAAGCAATATAGTTCTTGTTGTTTTGAATCGGTTTTTAAAATTTTTTCCATATAAATTTTCTACCTTTGACCATTTGGACAAAGAAATGCAAGTCCTACGTGTTATTCTTGCCCATTAAAGAAGACAAACAAGTTTTAAAACCTCAAGAAACGTGGGAAAAAGACGAGACTTGAATATGGATAAAATTTACAAAGGTAAGAGACGTTTTCATATTCAATTTTATTTACACTTTATCTTATTTGACATGAAATTAATAAGTATAACGATGAAAATGACACTCTATTTGTTAAGGAAACAGCTTCCTACGGTGCAATACACATGGGAAAGTGTAAAATTTCCCACTACTTTTAGCAAGCTGTGATTCACAATCGCAAATATTTGGTTACAACCTTCGAAGATTTATATTAAAATGATATTCAGTCACATAAATGAGTAATATGACGGTCTTTAAAGTGGCAATTGTCTTGTGTAATATTGTTAAAAGGTTGACTCTGAAGTCTCGTTTTATAAATAGACATAAACTATGATCATGTACCACAGACTGTCTTTTTGAAAGAGGGATTTAGATTTTGCGTTATGTACCAACTTAATATGTACAGTATAAGCTGGAGATGCTAGCTTTCTGGTTGGGGATACCTCATGATTTTTGTATCATGATAGAGGCTTGAGATAAATCACACTTTTCTCTAAGCCGAGGTGTAGCCGAGGTGTGTGCCATTAGGCATGCATGTGTGATCACATCTCATTTCCAGGATGCACTGTTTTCTTACAGGTTTTCTCAGTAATTATCACTCTGAATAAACAATGTACCTTGAGTTTATAAGTGCGTTCATAGTTTTAATTTAAGCTGAGGAGGCCACTTCTTTTATTTACCTTGGTCATATGCTAAGTTATGTTACGTGGATATATAATTGTACAACATGTATAATTAATCTATTGTTGTTTATTGCAGATTTACTCCACAATGAAACACTCTTTTCTGGGTGGCAAAACACAGTACCAAGCCACATCTTTGGAAACTGAACCAGAGACGGATTTTCATATTTTCGTTTGGTGGGGGGGCACCTGAATAAATACTGGGGGAGGTGGTGCTGCTTGCTTTGGCCAGGGCCTTTGGTCGGAATGGCCAAGGAAAAAGTTTAACAAAATTTGTTTTCTCGGCTTGCATGGTGAGATCTGAGTCCATAATATTGGTAATTTTACAAATTGCGTCATTCCAGACGACATCCATACCACCCCCACGTAGGAAATAAGAAGTTAACCCCCCCCCGTACTTCCTTCGGATGTCCTAATACATTTATTATTATCAGAAACATTTTTTTCTGGACGGCAGAAATTTCCTCCGTGGGGGGAGTATGGTTCTGGAACTATCCATTTAGTAGTAAGAATAATCAAATACCAAATCAAAAGATACATAATTTGCGGGTGTGCGCCGCCCCCCCCCCCAGAAAATCTGTGCCTGAACTGAACATACAATTATATTAAAGCTTGATTAATTTTGAACAACTGTATTTTAATTAATACATGCTTCCGGAAAGTATATCATCTTGGTTATAGGCTGTAGAATCTTACTTTCATGATTGGGACATGTCAAATACACAAGAACGAGGCTCCATAGTCAAAGTGGCATACTTTCTGGAATGATGTACAGTATTTGACTTTTTTGTAGCCTCTATTAACTAGCATTAAACAATTTTTAAAAATGTATAATAATAATTTTAATTCTTCCTAATTTAGTGGAGCATGATTGTGCTCGATTGTTATTAAAATTTACAGTTGAATAAAGTTATCATAATCATATAATTATTTATTATGTTGTTATGGTATTATAATTATAACTTCATTTTGATGTTCTGCACGTTGTCTTCCATGGTGATGCCTGTGCCATCTCTTGTGTTGCATTAAACAGATAATTTCTGCAAAATAAAAGATGACATTATTATCATGATACATTTATATAGTTATTACATCTTTATACACCATGAAAAGGAAAAAATATCATGCATGTATATATATAGAGAATATTACACAGCAGTGCGAGGATATGATTTTTATTTTCGAGTGGTGAAAACAATATTTTACAAAAAAGCACAGCGAGTGAGTAAAATATTGTTTTTAACACGAGAAGATAAAAGTCATATCTTCAAGCCACCATGTAATGTTCTGTTTATTATATAGTCGCAAGCAAAAAATTGTGAAATTTCACGCCCAAAAGCAAATTAGAAAAAGTCATGTGATCGATATCTTGATGCACTAGTGATAAGATATGGAAAATATCTTGTTCAGTATCTCACTCTCTACTATATAATAAATACACATATATTAACCCTTCAAGTGGCAATGTGTCTTGATATGCCTTACTGTATTTTTTAATCTATCTAATGTCAGACAATTTTACTAGTCAAGTGGAGAGTGCTGCCACTATGCATGGTGCAATATATTGATCTGTTTTTGCCCAAACCATAATTATCCCAAGCTTCAAAATTAAGTGTTGTGTTTCCATATTCTGGAATGCAATTCTATTATTAGCAAATTTCATCATAGTTTCCCACAGGCAAATCAGACATCACCTCTAATTCCAATGTTAGAAATGTTGTACATAGCATATTCTGAATTTGTCTGGTTAGCTTAGTGCATCGATAGTGACTCACTTATCCCAACAGCTAGTCGGCATGCAACATTTTTTTCTTGCCATGTAACTATTACGTCCTACTGTGTATGCATGTAGTTCTGAACAGACAATGGCAAAGTAAGTATCTATTTTCTACCCCAAGACTCTTCCCTTTGAGTAGAATAAGAATGCCTGGGTTCATTCGGGCATATTGCTGCTTAATGGGCTGACTATATCTCAGGGGTTACTCATTGGCAGATAGTATATTTAACCCACTGAGTGGCAGCAGTGAGCAGTCTCCCCTTAAAATATCGTCTGGTATTAGACAGACAGTGTAAAACAAAGAAGACATATTTAGGGCTCAACATTGAACCGAATTTCTTGCCGCAAAGCCAAATAAAAATCAATAGCTTTTCTTTAATAAGTTAATGTAGAAAGTAGAAAGTCAGTTGATCTTATCTTACATGAATAATAATTTAAAAAATAAAGACCTGTAAACGTTTGTCAAATGCGAATTATGTTGTTTTGAACATATACGTACATGCATACATACAAATCTATTTATATGTCCCAACAACAAGTTGTTGATTTTCAAATAGATAAGAAGTAGATAAGAATATAGAGAAACTATTTACAAATTATCACGTTCTTTTATCAGTTTTTTGAAATAAATAGAAGTATTGGTCTTTTCCACATTAACAGGTAGTCTGCGAATGTTTTTTGATATGTTGGGATCCGAAACATGTTTTACAGTTTTACTTTGAAATTTTCAGTGTGGCGCGTAATTTTCCACATGTACATAGTCAGGGCTGAACGAGGAGTATTTCAATTTAAATGTTTGATATTCCTACCTCTGCAATTGATAATCGCACCTGAAAATTAATTACAAATTATATAGCAATTTAGAAACACATGAAACGATTTAATTAAAAAAAAATTCTTTAATCATGAAAATGAATCAGATTCGGTCAACAGCTGAATGACGAGCAGAGTTCAACTACAAGAAGTAGTCAAACAGTACGAACATATCTTTAATGATGTGCCCGGTAACGCTAATATTATTGAGCATGAAGTTAAACTTACAGCAGACGAGCCTATCCGGTCAAAACCGTATACGATTCCTTATAATGTTAGAGAATCATTAAAGAAATATTTTCGAGATATGATTAACGAACGAAAGACGGCACTAACAGAGTTTGCGTCGACTTCCACAAGTAGAATTGTGTTACCGTGTTTGATCCAACACCGATGCCTACGGCAGAAGAGATAATCCAGAAAATGTCGAAAGCCAAATATCTTACCAATTGGATCTGAGCAAGAGCTATTGGCAAATTCCAGTAGTCACTGAGGATATTCCTAAAACAGCGTTCGTGACCCCCGATGGTTCATATGAATTCGTCAGAATACCTTTCGGGATGACGAATTCTGCCGCGACTCTGGTGTGAGGTATTAGGAAGTTGTTAGACGATCTTGATAAAGCTGACATCGATGACGTTATAGCGAGGTTTGGCAATGGCGACGCGACGTCAAAGACGACGAGAAAATGGCGTGATATGCCCATCTATGGATGTGCACACGCCATTTTTACGCCATTTCCACGTCGTCTTTGACGTCGTGTTGTCTTTGCTAAACCTAGCTACTATCTACACAGAGACGTGGGAACAACATCTTGTCGGGTTTGACGAAGTGTTCAGTAGACTTGCCAGCGCGGGTTTTACGGCGAGACCGACGAAGTGTGTCCTAGGAGCTGAAAGTATCGAAGTAAGTTGGTCACCGAATATCTGATGGAGTCAAAGGGCTCCACGAAGATAATGTGAAGAAGATTAAAGATGCGTAGTGACCGAGAACGAAGAAAGGGTTTAAAGCATTTCTTGGCCTTACTGGTTATTACTGAGAGTTCATTCCAAATTACGCGGCGAAGGCGGTTCCGTTGTCAGACCTGACCAACAAGAGTCAACCAAACCAAGTCGTATGGTCCGATGCACAAGAAAAGGCCTACAGCGCACTAAAAACAGAGCTTACGAGTTTTGCGATCCTCTGGCTGCCTGATAACACGAAACCATTTACACCAAGAACTGATGCATCTGACACAGGACTCGGAGCGGTATTATTGCAGGAGCATGATGGTAAACTTTCGCCAGTTACTTATGCTAGCAGGAAACTAACGGAAAGCGATTTCTCAACGACAGAGTTATGAGATGGGCGATATTTTTGCAAAACTATGGTATTAAGATTGAATCTATTAAAGCAGTCGACAACGTTGGTGCCGACTACCTCAGTAGAGTTTGTTAGAGACTTGTTATAGATTAGCTTGATAGACATTCAAGAGACGGTGTTTGATACTCATTGGAAAAGATTTGCGTTTTGTTATGAAATTTTGTAAATTTCTCAAAATGTCATGTCACAAATCTTTAGTTTTGAAACTAACGCTAGGGGGAGCTGTGTAGCTCTGCAGGGGGTAAGGACACATTATTCGGGGAAGAACCAACATGGCGGACTTAATATAAAAGTTTATATTTTCCGTTGTTTATTAAAATTTATAAAGTACGTCTTAGAGTAGTTGTGCTATAATGTGACCAAGACCGGTTTACCAAGAATTCCGTGACACTCTGAAATAGAAATAAAACACTGTTGTCATCCTACGAATAACGTTTAATTAGGTAATACGTGGCAAGAATTATTTTCGTGCGCTTAAAGCTGGAGTTACACGTGATTAACAAAATTGCTGCAACCTGCAAAAAAACTGATTTCAAAGCATGTTAAGTAGAAATGTCGACACATATTACCTTGTGATTTGTAATTTATGTGTAAACATTTCAATTAACATGGGCTGAAATCAGATTTTGTTGCAAGTTGCAGCAATTTTGTTGCTCGTATAACTCCGGTCCATCTTGAATGTTGACTTGGGATTGGATTACACTATACCGGATTACTTTCCATACCGGTTTAATTTTCACACCGAAGGAAAAATCAAGGGTGTTTACACTATACCGCTTCGTTCCGGCGCCAGCTCATGTATTTTTATAGGTTTACCGTTGTCACGGTAACAAGAAATAATATTTTGCCAATATTCTAAAATTTACTCATTACAGAAAGATAGATAGATAGATAGATAGATAGATAGATAGATAGATAGATAGAAACTTTTATTTAAACACGCTAACCATTGTCAACCTAGGCTGATTTCCACAAGGGGCGTGTACAATAATAAAATTACAAAGGTATAGTATAGTAAGACATTACATACAGTAAGAAATATATATATACCGGGTGGGGCAAAAAATAGTACGACTCTTTGAATTGGTATAACATCAGAACTAAACGAGCAATGACAATAAAACACGTTTATTGGCATTCAGCGGTGTCCAACTTAAATTTTGATATATGCCATGCACATTTCCATGCCATATTGACAAGGATACGTGCATTTGAACAAGAGTAACATTTTTGAAACTGAGAGAATTAAGCTAAAAACGGCCTATTAGATATTAATACCTTTATATACAAAAACAACTTGTGTTAAGACGCGTTATAGTCTATAATCAGTACGTTAACGCTTGTTGCTCAAAAGCAATCATCTACTCATCAGCAAATTCATGTCCCCCGGCACAATTGCGACATCTTGCCCGTGAAATGGGACAGCTCGTTCTAGACTCATTAGAACATGCAGACTACCTATCCCACGGGTATCGGATACCTTGTAGGAACAAAACTTTTAATAAAATCGGCCTTATAAGTTCACATCCATTGCCCAACATCGTAAAACAAAAAATACAAAGTCTGTGAATGAAGAAATATTTCTATAACTTTGACTTCACTTCATTGAAACAATAATCGCGAACAAATCGTAACAGTTATTGAATTAGTTTAATAGGGGCTTTTCAGCTAATTATTGACGGTTCCAAAAATGTTTGCGTAAGTTTAAACACAATTATCTCAGTCATAATCGCATGAAAATGCACCAGACATATATCAAAATCTAAGTTAAACATCGCGGAATATAGGGTGATTTATTTAGGTGTAATAGCTCTATTAGTTTTTGAATCATAGTAAATCAAACAGTCGTACTTTTTTTGCCCCACCCGGTATATATATATTTCAAGGAGTATTTACGGACGTTTTCTCGCAGGTATTTGCGATGTTTATCTTTGTTTAGGATGCTTGACCAGTAGACGTTGCTTCGTCTCGCTTCGATTCAGAATTGATGAGTGTTTCCATAAGTTTGGCCTCTTCGAAAACGAGAATTCACTGTTATTATCGATTTCTTTGTTTGTCTCCGCCTGAAATAGTGATTGTGAAGTGAAACAAACAACGGTTATCAAGTCTCTAAAGTATTGTCTAAACGAGAAAGTAAAGCCGATAAACGTTGAAGTATAAGCGCCGGAACATATTTTGTACCGGAACGTACTATTTACACTTGGTTTATCCGATACGGCACGTACCGGATTACTCTCCATATCGCCTCCAATGATTTTCGCGCCGCAGCACGTATCGGATTACGGTGGCGTAATGTAAACAACAGCCCAATCCCGTACAGAAATCGCGTCGCTCCGATGCAATCCGGTTTATTGTAAACGGGGCCTTGGAGTTGGGGCTGCTCTTCCCACTTGACTCTGCTAGCTCATTGCTGTTTTCCGAGAAAAGTGCTTTTACACTTTGTTTCCTTCTTAGATTACACTGAGAGAGCAATCCAATAGAAATATAAAATTAGTTTAATTTACTGCTCCTCCGTGCAGAGGAATTTTAAGCATTCGAAAATGCAGAGAGAGTTTTAGAAAACCTCTCTCTCTGCGGAAGAGAGAGGTTTTCCTGCATAATATGTTAGTTGACGTTTCTGAAGAATAAAATATAGAATGAGAATATATCATTATTTTCCTAGTGGTAGCTACGTTCCTACGCTAAACGTTCCCTATCGCTAGTGTGGTTATGTCGCGTAAACTGGTGGTTGAAACAATATAAGGATTTCTTTTTGTGTATCACATATCCATGCATACACATATTTGAACTGCCACATACCTGGCGTTGAAAAGATTCATTGAGAGTTTAATTTGAACATCTTGTGATCCTAAGTTGTTCATTCGTTTGATAGTATCATCACTATAAGTGCATTAATAAAGAGAGCTTTTTGAGTTTCATTTGAGAGTTCATAAAACCGCGTAATTGTAGTAACAGAGTCACATCGTTGTTTCCATATCTCAAATCCTTCACTGAGGAGAACAGCTGCTAGGGTCAAGCTTAATTAGTAAGTTTTCCGATTTTCGCCGAGATAAATGGTAGATTAGCACTTCTTCCAGAGGCGTCATCGCCAGATTGTTGAGAAGGATTTTTCGGTATCGTGGCATTTAAATAAAAATACTGCCGAGAAACTTGAATAGTCGAAATTTTCTGCTTCCTTTAGTCCAGAGAAAAAACAAGAATCATTCCACTTCCACTATGAAAGCAGGATTGTTCAGGATTGATCAAGATATTTTCAAGAGAGCTGTTGACTACGCCATGTTGTTGTAGAATAATTTATTATAATTTATATCTAATGATTTGTAACAATGTTCTTAATATATTACATATAAGTTTATAAGTACTTAATGTCACATGATATAAAGCAATATACGCACCAAGTCAACAACTTTTAAGTCGTTGAAACATGTGTGGAATGATGTGTGATATTTTGGGAGAATTTGGGATACGATTGGTAATTAATTAGTCTTTCTCACGCCGCCAATTTTGGGTGGCTTTTCAGCCGAAGTCTGGGAGATAAGTCCACATACTTTAACAGCGTCAGTTGAAATTTTTGGACGAACGATGGTAAATTTGCTTTGTAAATGGTTAGTTTATTTTGAAAAGTTGCTGTTTACATTGTTTTAAATGTCTGCATAGGTTAACGAGAATTAGATGCTACCCAACAATGATGGTTGTCCAATACTGTCGAACGTATATGGATCGTAAAGATGGCAAAACATTGACCACAATCCTTATGGTCCGTATTGACGGTGAAATGGCTTTACTGACGGTTCGTGAAAATTATTTACAAATCGTGACCCTACTTTTTCGATCGATGGTAATGTTGTGTTTACATGAAGCCAGAAAAGTTTGTCGATCCGCATGGATTGTACGGTCCGTACGAACTGTAAAATGGGTTTACGGACCGTACAAACCCGTACGGTTCGTGAAAATGATTTAGTCAATTGATTGAAGGATGGAATCGAGTGGACGAATCAGTTCAAACGAAATTCTCACGCTTACCAAATGTTGTCCGTATACCAGCAGCAAACAACGAAGCCATAGGTAGGACAAAGATTAGATTTGCCAGCTATGTTATTTCAAAAATGTACGAAACAATATTAAGGGAATACCTCAAAAACAATGGGTTTGAAGAAGCAGTCATTTTGAAATTAGAAGGTTAGTATCCTTTACATAATTTGTTTTATAGGCATATAAATGTATGTGTTTCTACTCCGTGCAAAACAACAGTTTTACGACCTACTATAACTAATAAATATACTTGAAACGCTGTTGCGAGGCTGTGAGAATGCAATAAAAATTGTAAGTCTCATAGCAAAAATGCACGAGTGTCCAGGTCTGAAAGTATTTACCAAGGTTGAGTAAATTTATGCTGCTTGAAAACTTATGTAAGCGGAATTTGAAAGATTTCTTTCTATGCTTTGAGAGTTGTTGTTTGGATGCTATGGTTTTGCTCCAAATATGGGAAGACAATGCTTTAATACAGCGGAAAGTGCTTGAAATATTGAGTTATTGTGGAGTCGTAAATTGGGTTTATTTAAAGAGCCTTTTATCTTGTTACAGGTGACATATTTACGAAGCCATATACAGTATGTAAGTGAATATAAAAGGTCGGTTTATGATTATGTAATCAGTATTAGGAATTAATTAATTAAGCGCCCTAGAACTAATGTCTCAGTTATACAATGAAACTCCGGAAGGTGTATTTTCGAGCAATTCATAAGCTTCTGCAATTTTAGGTATAACTGGTTGAGACTAACTTTTCTTCTATGGAACATTCGAGTACCCCTTATTATAAATTTAATGCAGTAATTATAATAATAATAACTAGGCATAGCATAGTTCCTTCATTAACCTAAGGTAAATTCACTTTAGTTGAACCTGCTACTATATAGGTTGACAACAGGATACACTTACTAAGGTTGGGTAAATTAATTTCACCGGCTTATTTAGCCGTAT